GGCGGCGGTGGCGGCGCCGGCGGCGCCACCTCCGCCGGCCACGCCTCCGCCGCCGTCGCGGCGGTGGCGGCGGCGCACCTGAGCGCCAGCACTCAAGGCGCGCCCAGCATGCGCACAGGCAGCTGCGCTAGCGAGCTGCCGAGCTTTGCCGGGATGGGGAGTCATGGCGCCATGTCAACAGTGATGTTAGATTCCCGCGATGCCGACGGAAACGGCGTTGGTGTTGGTGTTGGGGGGGCCGGCGGCGGCTGTGCTGGCTTTGCAGCGACGGCTATGATGACGGTTCACGGCGTAGATGATACTTGGGGTTTGCGGGGCATGATGGGTGCGCTTGTGGAGAGCATCATGACGACGTTGCGTGCGAGTGCGTCGGAGCTGGGCGACGAGGCTGTGAATGGGTGCGTGTTGCGTGTGGGGGGGTGGGGGGGTGGGGGGTGGGGGGGAGACTCCGATTTACATCCACCATGTACATCGGGGGCTGAGGGGGGCCGGTGGGCGGAAATGGAGACTTGGAAAATGGTAGGTGTACGGGTGCAAATGTGGACGTACGGGCGTACGGCAATGCGCAAAATTGGGTGTTCGGGGGCCTGAGAAGCTGCTCGCGGAGGATGGCGGGGGCATTGGCGCCAGTGGCGGGTTACTACAGGCCGAGGAGCACAGCCCACAGATTGAGGGTTGGTTTGCCACCCAATTTCCCCGTCCGTTGCAGGACCGAGCTGGGCGGTCCTCGCGCGGTGGAGGGTCTGGAGGAGCTGCACCTTGCCGAGGTCTTGGGGCACGGTGCCAGCGGTGTGGTGCTAAGCGGAATGCTAGGCACGGTGCCTGTGGCGGTCAAGGTACGAGGGGGGGATCAACTCTCTCTCTTTCTTGTGGTGGATCAACTCCCTCCAGCAGCTTGCGGCTTTGTGTGTGTGTGTGTGGTTGTGGTTGTGGTTGTGGTTGTGGTTGTGGTTGTGGTTGTGGTTGTGGTTGTGGTTGTTACAGTGGGCTCCAGACTCACGAAGAGTAGAGCCAGCTGGCCAGCTAACCGTGCACTGCACTAGAGACTAATATACAAATTAGACAATCACCCAGATGAGACAACGCAAGTCAATTAGACAGCCAAAACCGCGACTAAAGGGAAGGCTCAGGACTCATACGTCCTCCAATTAAGATAATATCTTTGTGGACATACCGCCATTTGATTTATTCGTTTCCTCCCTATCGCGATCATGGTCATGATAATTATTACAATAGTAAAAATAATAGTGATATATAATATATATAATATAATGTTATATAATTATATTATATATATTTAATAATTTATATAATAATTATGTATAATATAATAACATATTATAATGTTATATAATAATATAATATTACACTATGTTATATCATACTATGTTATATTACATAATCTAATGTCATATTATATTATACTATACTATACTAAATATGTTATATTATACTCATCACCATCGTATGACTTCCCAACCTTGTCTCAATCCGCCCACCTTGTTCTCCCGTCCTCCCATCTCCCATTAACCCTCTCCAAACATCGCCCCCCACCACCTTGCCACCCCCCGCTACCCCCCACCAACAGCTAATGGAAATGCTCGACGCCGATTACGACGCTATCTCCACGGAGGTCGGCCTGGCCCTGGCACAGAGACATTCCCACCAACATGAACATCATCAGCACCCAACCCACCATCACCACCACAACTACCTTGCCCCCGGGGCTGGGGGCAGCCGAGGCAGTGGTGGCATCTTACCTGGCTGCGGGGCGGCGGGCGCCTGCTCCTCTGAAGAGACGCTGGTGAAGTCCTTGGCTTCCATGGCCACCGGCCGCGCCAGCAAAAAGTGCCTGATGGCGGCGGCGCAGCCGGGCGGCGGCGGCGGGGGCAACAATATCAATAATAACAATTACAGCAACAACAACAGTAATAATGACAACAATAATAATATCGTAAATAACAATAACAACTACGATAACAATATCGCACAAGGAAGGGAGAATGCGGAGAAGAAGGAAAGGGAGCAGCAGCAGAAGCATCCGGCTGTTGGGGATTGTCCGCGTGGGGATGGGGGTGGGGTTGGAGGGGGGGAAAGGGGTCGTCTTCAAACCGAGTCGGAGCAGTTGAGGGCGCGTCGTACCATGTTGCGGAATGCGACGGAGCTGGCGGTTATGAGGATGGTTAGCCACGTCTGCATTGTACAGGTAGGCGTGCGGATATGAGTATGTGTAGGGAGAGGGTGGGGTGCAGGGGGGGGAGGCCGTGGCGAAGAAAGCACTGTACAGCAGGGGTGAAGTCAGAGCAGCAGGGCAGCTGTGTTTTTTTGTGTAGGTCCCCCTCCCCCTCCCCCTCTCCCCCTCTCCCCCTCTCCC